GTCAACTTTTAGTGTGAAAGCTGCGCAATCCTTTATGCATGAGGCCCCACAGATAACAAACAAAAATATTTTGCGGATCTGGTAAAAAAAAATGCTTCCATCCTGCTGTAACTTCAGTGAGGTTTGCACGGCTCTCTTTTTATTTTTGACTCTTCCAGTCACTGTTTCAACCTCTGAGCGCTCATTCTCTTTAGTTAAAACTCCACACTTGTCTTGCATGTCAACCCCTTTGGTAGTTTACCTGTATAATGAGCCTAAAAAATCCATAAGTTTAGTAAAAAATAAAATAAAATAATAAAATAATCCATATTAATCACACGCGAGGGGATGGCGGGAGGATACAGGCTGTCTGTCCGCCACGGATTTCAGCAACTGTGGAGGGCAGAGCAGGAAGAATTGAGGAGGGAGAGGAGAACTTATAGTGGCAGAGTGGGTTGGAAGATGGTTATTTTAGGTTATTTATTGTTTTTTAACATCCTATACAGGCTCTGAAATGTTAAAAAAATTGAAACTACGTTTTTTAATYCATAAAACTTAAAAATATTTGGGAGATTGGTCTGTTAACTTCAGTATACCTGCAAAATGAGGAAAAAAATGACAGACAATCCGTACAACTTGATATGCTGCACTTGAGTGGAACACAGTGGGACAGGAGAGACTGAGAGGACTTGTCACGTTGTCCAGAACAAGAGATTAAAAAGCATCACGGAAATAAAATGATGTGATCGTGAGCTTTATTATTTGGTATAAAGGGCCCGGTTATTTGCCCCGCCCCCGGCCTTATTTGTTCCGCTAGTGCAGAGAGGGGTTTCAATATGTTTTTCTGAATGTCATGTTATCACATAACACAGAACCTACACTGGATAACACTACAAGATATTGGCACATACAGAACAAAGTGTTGTATGTTCTGCTCCTCTCTGCTACTAACACAGGTGTGTCTGGAGAGTGAGACCCTGAGGTATGACACACAATATGAATCATTGTAGGGCTGCACAATATCAGGAAAACCTGCAATAACAGTGCTTAATATTGCAATGACAAWATGACTGAACAAATATTCAAGTGTGCAGTGCTGTATGTCTTTCTGCTCTGAAAAAAAACAACAACAACTAATACATCCTTTCTATTTCAACATGACAATTTTTWAAAAAAAATAATGCAACTAGGCACAGCTGCTGTAGTAGCAGTCAAACAACAATAAAGTTTCTCTTGTTATCAGGTTTTTTAAAGGAATTATAAATATCTCCAAATAAGAGATGTTCTGTTTTTTTAACCACAAGTTCTTTGTCGCTATTAATTTCCTCACTTGTATTGATCTCAGCATTTGTGATTCTCACTTATTTGTTTGCTATCCACCTGTGTCCACATAAGGCAGGCTTCTAACAAAAGAGATCAGGCTAACRTCTGCAGAGAAAAGCCCTGAATGTACAAGCCGTTTAAAAGAAAACAATAACATATACATAGAGAAGTTTTAATAAGTCTCTGAAAGAGCTTAATATAGTGACAAAATATCAATATTTGCTTTTACAAATGCACACCAGAAAACCCAGTTTCTAGTTCACACATAGGCCAGCAGAAATACTTTATGTGAAACATGAGTCACATCGCAGGGACCATGYTCACTTCTTTTCTAAATGTTCTAGTTCAAGTTCAACCATATCGTTTGAAATGATTTTGCTTTCCTCTACTCCTACTTGCTTTTTCTTTTCTTTTCTCTTCTTTTCTTTCTTTCTTTCTTTCTTTCTTTCTTTCTTTCTTTCTTTCTTTCTTTCTTTCTTTCTTTCTTTCTTTCTTTCTTT